ATGTTTACTGCGCATCATTACACCCAAAATAACAAAATTGGTGAATGCACTTAATGAATCGTGAGCATCGGGCGATTGCCGAGTGCTTTCAAGGTAACATCCGCTTGATGTTTGAACGGGCTTGACTAAACTTTATGCTTTTTATAGTTCTCTTACTCAGCGCTGAGGATACTTGGTTCTTGAAGAAGAGAAAAGGCAAAAGCTGGTAGGGACGGTTCATTCGGAAGAGGAGAAGCAAGGGGATGTTCTTTGCGAATAGGAAACGCACGCACTCACAGGCAATGTCTGGCGTGATTGCTGTGCCTTCCTCTTTGTGCCAAAAAGAGTGGATCCCTATCCGCTTCCGCTCTTTCCAGTATCGCACTGGAACGATCGATTGAACACCTGCACGGCGCCGGAGTACTCGGGTAATATGGAAGTGGAATGAAATGTGATAGTCCGTCCAAGTGGTGCTTATGTTTCTCTGACGCCTTCGATGTATAGCTTTCATGAGGAAAAAATTTCGCCAAGTGCAGGTGCACACATTCTTCTCCCCACTGGAATCTATGGCGGATCCAATAGGAACGAAAATAATGTAAGGGAACCCGATTCTTACACTGGTCTTATGATGGAATAAAATGCAACGAACGCAGATCTTCATAGAAACTAGATTTTTCATTTCACGACATGACCCCCTTGACGCACACATCCTCAGTTGGACGGAGCGTTCGCCCATTTGGAGGTGGGCGCAGCGAAGTTCGTGGCAATTTGAACGATCCTGGCGCTTATCGTTGTGGCATTATTTTGAGGTAGAGTAGATTAGTGGGATCAGCTAAACCTAGTAATCTACTCTGCTTCAAATCTGTACCCCAATGATAGGCGCCAGAGTCGTTCACGAAATTCGCCGCGCAGTTTGCCGCGCGCACCGCCAATTGGGCGAATGTACCCATATCCCATCCTAATAACATCCCACTGAAAAAAAGATTTCGGGAAAGGATACGAGCTGGGATGAAGTAATTGCATGGCTTGTTACATCACTATGGCACCTTTCATAGTCCACGATTTTGCGAGCGACCAGTCGCGCGACCGGTCGCGCGACTCGCCGCCAGTCGCTAGCGACTGGTCGCTCGACTGATCGCGCCACCGGTCGCTCGACCGGTCGAGAAGGCCGCGCTAGTTATGGGTGCCGCCGTGGACGGTCCCGAGCAGATCGCGCGATCAGTCTATCGACCAGTCGAGCGACCAGTCGCTCGCGAGATGGGTCCGCGACCAGTCGCGCGACTGGTGGTGGACTATGAAAGCAGCCTATGAGGCGCTGGAACTCTCGGACTACTGTGAAAACTGTGTTCCCAAACTGCGTTTTCTTTTTTTGCAGGGATCCATCGCTGCTCTTACACCAGAGCGCCTGAAGCGACTCCTACTTTATCAGCCAACTAAGTAAAGTAGGCTATTAAAGGAAGGGTTCACAGTATCTAGTTTTGGATGGATAATGGAATGGTAGTCCAGAACAGTACAAAAAAGGAGAAAAAAGCTCGGTCGGCTTATTTAGAGAAATATAAGGTTTCAAAAAAAGTAGCACAATTAGGGGTTGTACGAGAACAACAAAAGTTGCACGGAAGGGATATTTGGACGAGATGTCCAAAAGTGTAAGCCATTGCATACAGCTGCATACAGTAAGCTGCATGCATACAAAGTGTGCGTCTCATTGTGAATAGTGCAACTTTTAAAGCCTCCACGACACCGTGAGAACTCGTCCGCCCTGGGTGTGTACGCCGGATGAGCCGGTTCTGGAGCCTTTATTACGCCCCACACACCGTTTTTTAATTTCGACAGCGTCTCTCATGTTTTCTTTGGGGGTCACGTGTTTATCCTAAAGAGAAATTGTAGAAAAAAATTTATTGTTGTAAACTGTGCCTTTCAGCCAAGACCTTTAACCAGTTAAACCTTTAGCTTATTTCTATGGTGTTGCTTTTACTTTGTCATCTTTGACTTGCTCATTTTTAACTTTACTACTTCACCTTCCAAGGTATAGATGAAAGAATTCCTAGTTCAGACAGCACGCCATACCCAGAAGCGATGCCTCCAGAAAAGGCCATATTTCAGCCCTCAGATCACCATTCACATCTCAAGCAACTATAACCATTGACTGTAGAGGCCGCACCATCTTTTGGGTGATGTTGCCCTGCTTATATGTACACCTTCCGAGTGGCGACTTTACGAAGACCCTTTATAGAGGAAAGAGTTTGCTTTAATTGATCGCAGTGTCCACCTCAATGAGAGCTTATATACATATGGTCCTTCCCCGCCTTGATGTCTGTACGTCCATCATTCGATATCGTGTAAAGGCAACGTCTTGTTTCATGCAGGCATCTTACTGTAGCTAGCTGTATGTAATGGTCTACACATTTGGACATCTCGTCCAAATATCCCTCCCGTGCAGCTTTTGTTGCCACATTCTCACCCCTAATTTCACTACTTTTTTGAAACCTTATATTTCTCTAAATAGGCCGATCTTCGCGCTTTCTTCGCCACTTTTATACTGTCTGGACTGCTGTTCCATTATCCATCATTCGATATTGTGTAAAGATAACGTCAGTTCGAATTCATGATATCCCAGAAAAGAATCGGATTAGTGATAAGAAGCCCAGAACAAATGTACGTAAGTGAGCCAGACTCACACTCAGGGAACAGAACCTTGCTGTGGGAAACACGCTTTCACTACTTTGTCCTAATCCAGGGAAATGATTTTCTTTTCTATTGAAAAGCATTCTACGAGATCTCCGCGCTAACCTTTATCCAAAAGTCAGCTCACAAGAAGGGAAAAAGAAAGTTGGTGGAGGAATGGTATTTGAGTGAGGGAATTCGTGATAAACCCATCCTATCATTCACGTGACTTCAATTCCATGCTGTTGCCAGTATTTGGGTGCCGATCTAGTGCACACGGGTCCGGTATTTTCTCCCCGAAAATGACGTCGCGTCTGCCGCACACGATCGCGCCCTATGGTGGTAAAGGTTTGAATTCCCAGCGCACGGATAGGATAGCCGCCGCGTGACCACTGCCGCTTGCCTAGGAATTTGGGGAGAAGTTCCGGCACGCAGTGCACACCATGAACCCCCTCACTCAAATACCATACTTTTTCCACTTTCTTCACCTGGGTGGAATGTAAGCGAATCGATGGGAAAGGATAATATTTGGCAGCAAAACGAGAAGCCATAAACTCTTAATTGTAAGATTGTCGATTTTGAAGAAGACTTGAAATATATAATACAACCAAATTATCCGCAGAGGATTCCGACCGATTTCGAGCGTGTTCTAGCGGGCAGACCAGTTGAGGATAAACTAGTCACGCTGAATCGATCCGCCACGCTTCCAAATTTCTGGATGTTATCGCCGTTTGGATACCTTCCCCTCAGGTTGACCTGCAACGGTCTCCCTGTTCAGATAGATACGAGCTTACTATAATTTTGGGGTTCCTAGTTTTAGACAAATAATGGAAGTGATAATTCAGAATATTGCAAGGAGGCAAGGAAAATGTGGAACTTGGCCTCTCCAGAGTGAATGATCCAAACTCAACAGATTCCACCAAAAAGGGATTTCAAAGCCCCGTGTATGTATTACGCCGTAACCCGAATACACAATCAACGCCTCCAAACACCCATCACATATATGACACAACAAAAAGATACCCTGGGTGAAGCCCATAGGGTGGTTGGTGATGCATTAGGGGGCAACTGTATTACACTTTCACGGGATGTTGAAATTCCTCTAATTTCCCACAGTGCCATTAAAACTCGTCCGCCTAGGGTGTGTACCTCGGCTAAGCCGATTTGTTGGCTTATTGATGTTACCATGAAAAAAAGGAATTTGGGGAAATCAACCCCAACAGCCAAATATTAACGCCCTAACCCACTACTAGTAACCAGCGGATTTTCAAAGCACCAACGACGACTAGGGTGATGGAACCCATAGCCCAAGCTGAAACNTGCATTAGGGGGCAACTGTATTACACTTTCACGGGATGTTGAAATTCCTCTAATTTCCCACAGTGCCATTAAAACTCGTCCGCCTAGGGTGTGTACCTCGGCTAAGCCGATTTGTTGGCCCATATTACGCCCTATTCAAACCGTTTTCGACCCTTGGGGCTATCCTTGAAAGTAGCAAGCCTAACTTACGTGGAAACCATTTTCGTCGTGAACCTTGCCTTTCACCGTTTCCAATCGTAATGGAAGAACTGGCAACACAAAGGGTAACTGCATTGTCACCCTTGCATTTCAGCATTTCTTAGAGCTGTGTGCTCCGATCCGTTTTCCTAAACAGGACTTCCCCATTTCCAAGCGCACTTGGTCCTTTCCCATTTAGTTCTGATTCGCACCACACCAAAAATGAAGGAAACATTCATTAACTCTGAAAAATTTGAATCAACGAAAACAATGAAGCTCGATTAATCGACTCATACAGTATAATGGCGATATAGCAGACATAGAAAACTTTTCGTTTTCGAACAATGAAAGTCGTCTGGGACATCAAAAAAGTGCAAAAAGAACAGCATCTATTTGTACTGCTTCAAGAGACTTTTTCTATATGATATCTTACTAGTTATTACTATTATTAATAGTACTTGACTGATAATAAATAATAAACAATTAACCGACTCATAATTATGATGACAGTAAACATGGTTGTAGAATCTTTGCCAAATGCAACCAACAACGAAATATTGTCAACAACATCGATTTATTGATGTTATCATGGAAAGGAAACAACTTGGGGAAATCAATCCCACGAGTCAAATATTAACGCCCCAACCCACTACTAGTAAGTAGCGGATTTCCAAAAGACCAACGATGAGGAACGACTAGGGTGATGGAACCCATAGCCCAAGCTGAAACAATCAGACCATCTAGAGAACCCAATCGGTGAAACGACCGCTTAACAGCAAAGAGCCGAAACGCTTACATCATGCATAAGATCATAACCAGTTAAGGTAACAAAATCAAACGACCTAAGAAATGATATGTGCTTAGTGAGTGTCCTTTTCAAGATTTGCCTCCGCTTCTTTCAATGGGAGTTCTTCAGGAGCCTCTCCTCCCTTGAGCTTAGCCCATTCCTGAACCTCTCCGCTGGCGAAAAGGCTGAACACGATCGAACCAATCGCAAGAATACCGGCTGTGAGCCAGAGAACGCCTTGCCATTCTTCTTGGGTCCCCTGTAAATCGTGTATTGAAGTAGTAATAGTAACAAACAAATACCAAACAAAATGCCCCGTCAACACCTACATTGGGAGTCAACGCTGACGTGACAATGGGCGAAACAATACCAGCGAGGCAGGATATCGTATTACCCATTCCCATTATGGTACCAGAGAACGAAGGGGCAATGTCCAGATAGTTCACTACGAAACCCGAATACTGTAGACCAGAAATTGCCATTCCAGCCGTGAGATAAATTATAACTAGCGCCTGAAATTAATTTCCTTTGGAACAGAAAACGAACAACCCTCATTTTGAAAGATAAAGAGAACTCGGGCAAACAGACCTCTTGACCGCATCCACAATAACCTGACAATACTAGGAACATTCCTTGTCCAAGCAAGGCTGCAAACAAAAGCACCATTACTAATTACATATCATTCATTATTCAATTCTTACAATACATTCATTACATTTTTTGTTTATTCAACTTGGAATAAACACGGGTCTATCCGCATAGCCATCTACAAGTCCAGCGCCCTCAATCGCCTCCATTCAGAATCGTAGTGGCGTTTGAACACATTTTTAATCTCTTCAAAGAAATAAAGTAGCCAGCTGATGTGCAAGATAGTGTTTTTATCCTCCCAGACGAATCTCGTACGAATCAACCGACACCAAACAGATGGAGAGCTTGATTGGCCCAGGCGAATATCAGTCCGAAATTCGATTCTTGGGATATCAATAGAAACAAGCCTTGAACGGTATGCGCGAGCACGTAAGCGACGAATCCTCGATAGCGTTTCGCGACATGAAACCACAAGACCGCGATCATCCATTAGACCGTCTTTCACTCCTCAACCATTCCAATCTGACCCATACATTGCGCGCTCCAATGGCCTTTGAATAACTGTGACGCGCACTTCAATTATGAGTTCCCATGCCTGGTAAAGCCACATGCCGACTTCTCGCATCAGCTACATCTTCCCACAGGGTAGAAGCAATACAGAGAGCTCCAGCTCCAGCTGATATGCCTTCAAGAGCTAATAAACACCTCGTAGTAATGCGAACTGTCAGACAGAGCGGTTATGTTATTTTAAAGAGGCCTGAAGAAAAAGTGACTTAGAACTCCCCTGTCACACATGGAATCACGGCGAAGGAAAGGTTGACGCCCGTTTCGAGCATAACAAGAAGATGATTGGGGGAGCAGTTGATCAAGGTGGGGCGTAATCTTGTATAGAAATGTGGACATGATAGCAAGAGTACTAAACTTCTGGGACATTACGGGGCAATCAGCTCATGGGTAAGCAAGGGCATGCATGTAGACTTATTTTCACCAATGATTGGGCAACAGCAGATTACTTCCATCGCCTTCTACTAGGCACGTAAAGTGAAAAACGGAAGGGCAGCGACTGAAATATCAGCGATCTATTCGTTGAAAGTAGTGTTCATTGACCAACGGCCAACAAATGGTTGAACCCCTTCGCCCCACCAGATACTAACCTTCGAAGAAAAGCAATCATCGTCTCATAGTCTGTGGGACATGAAGAGATCCATCCACTATGAGTTGCTTAACGCAAACTAGACGGTCACAACTGTCGCTCACCCCTATGAACCCCAGCATATGGCCAAAGCGGTTGGAGGTTTTCTGACATTGAGCAAAAGGCATCAGTGGTTCACTCAAAAGTATAAGGGAAGGTTGCGATCTCTCTGGTGGATTTATTTCTGATATTTCATCAACTTGGAAAGCTCCAGAAATAAATCTAAATCGAGTTTCTTTTGTCACATAAACTCCTTGCCCAACTCTTATATTTTACTTATCTACCTTGGGCAGAAACGAACTTTAAGATGAGTCGACACCCAGCTGCGGGTTTCAATTAGGAAAAGAGCTACTTCGAACGATAAATTGTGGAGTGGCCGTTTGTCGATGCAGGCACAATTGCGCTCAATTTCCCAATAAACCTTATTCAAATCTGGAACGTTATCCCCTCTTATCTGAATGACCTAATTACAACAGTCAAAGTTATAATTCCATCTCTACATTTTAAAATCTCTTCTTTATATTCAATAGAGCAGAAAATTTAAACATGCTGCCAAAGCTGCATTCTGATGGTGAGCATTAAGTAGACGAGTTGTTCCAATGCGCTCAATGCTCCACAGCCATGAACACACGATAACTGTTGGTTCATCACTAGTAACATTACTAATCATCTGTCGAAATGAAGTTATCTCTGCCTTACTGTATAAATATCGTGGTTGAGGTGAGAATGATGTAAATCATTAGCTCACCTCTATCTTTTACTACCCGCCCATCTACCCAATGGCCCCCTTGCAAGTAGATGAAATCCAACAATAGTTTATGGACGCTAGAATTTGAGTGCATGAATGCAAGGTTTAGGAACTCTTACCGCAAGAAAATAGTAGTTCCAGCCGCTCACATCTGCTTACTCTATACCTGGCTATCAGCCTAGTGCAGCAACACAAGGTTACTGAAAGGAGAACCAAACAGAACATAAAGCCGAAAGGAAGATCTTCATGCAGATTCCGAACAACAGCTTAGCCGACACCAAAGAATCTGTGAAATCTCCTTTTCACTGAGGAAGTTTCAAGTGATACAAAAATCTTCACAGCAGTACCAGTGCATCATCAGGGCGATCAGATGGTATGTCCCTGACGTGCAACGACCCATCAACCCAGACCATTCTAGGATGAGAAAGACACGCTTTCTTCTTCTCTCATTTTGGATGTAATTCCAGCATTCGTTGTGCTGATATTATATCTAGCAGAATACTGTGCCCTAATATAATCGAAATGGTATTTTCTATTTTTTGCATCTTTAGAATTATGGCTCACTTGACCTCAGCGTCTTACTAATTTCCTTGCGGTATAAGCTCATAGACCACGTCTAAACCTCATGAATAGAAAAAGCACTCGATCGCCCATGAAGGCTACCAGAAAACGTATTGCCCTTACCCAGTAACATCGCTGCTCGTCGCGTGTTGAGAGTTCCGAGGATATTTTTGCTACGAATGAAATCGGCAAGGAATCCACCAATATTGATTACAACAAAATATGCAATATAAGGAACTGCCGACACCATACCGAGCTGAAAAAGCATACCTACTATAATCACACTTGACTTACAGATATGACAGAGTTAGGAGATTCAAGCTGACTTCTCTACAACAAACGCTCGAAAGTTCTTAATACTTAACTATGAAAACGAGATATTTAGTGTTAACAAAAGAAAGCAACTCACCGATGACAAATCCAGTCCAAGAACATCTTTAAGGAAGGATGGGAGCGACACCAACATTGTATATGCACCCCAGTCGCCTGCGAAATGTCCAAACCAGCAGGCCCAAACAGCGCGTGATGTCAGAATACTGCCCCACGGCGTTGCAGGAGGCTTAACAAACAAATCTGCTATTCATAAC